GCTTGATTTGATGAGTGTCTTGCTTCCACGGGAGATTGAATGTATGATTTTTTTGTTCCCATTTCATCAAATCCACTCATTCTTTTGATACATTTTGGGATACAAATTAAATTGCACTTATCTTCACTACCATAAAATTAGTAGGTCAATTAATATATTTTTCGAGAGAATGATGATATATAGAATTTTTTATAACCTTTTTTTAAAGATTTGAATTTACCGAAAGAATTTGATAGTATTTTATTAATCCTCCAAATAATTTTATAGAAGAAAGATGAAGAAAGAAAAAGTAAGATTTTTAGAAATGGGTTTGGATTGATGGATATGATTGAGAATGAAATTGGGTCTAATTACACGTGCACCAATAATCATAATGCCAACACATGAAATTTTAAATATTATTTTTGCCACATCAGCTTCTGTTAAATGGAGGAGTATTTTAGATTGAAATTTTACTAAAAGCATTTTTGATCCAAATAGGTGGATGGGAGGGCATTTTTAATCCAATATATGGAAGAAGAACATTATTGAGCTATTTCTAATACCTTAATTAAGGCATTTTTTATCCTTTTCCCTTTCTGAATTTTCCCAAAACTTGTTCCTCATCAGATAATTCCCTCAAATCGACAGCGGCGTACGGACCGACGCCGTAGAAATGCAGTAAACGCCACAAAAACGGCGGTAAAAGTCGAACTCGGAGTAACGAGTAAATCACAGTAGAGTTTGTCTCCGGTGGGAAAATGCCGAGTTCGTGTTGTATCAGAGCTCTCTGGATCCTCACCAATCAAGACACCGTTGTTTTCTCCCGGTAATTTCCCTCTCCCTCTCCCTCTGTGTGCGTGTTTTGTTAATTTTAATCATGCTGATGAAATTGCAGGAGATTTCCGGTGGTGGAGAAGCGGTGGCGGGCGGCATGCGAGAGGAGTAAGAGTTTTATGGAGGATGATTTGAAATATAATGTGGTGCCTTCTCTTCCTACTGATTCAGAGATAGCTGATGCTTTCGTTGACCGCAAGAAAAGGTTTTTTCTTCTTTTTTAATTCTCCTTTTTTGAATCAAGTTTGGAACTTGGGATGATATGTTCGAGTTTAAGTGATACACAATGACATTGGTATGTACCATTTTTTTTAGGTGTTATTAAATCAAGTTACATGCAATTAGCTTTGAAGTAACATGATTGTGTTAATACTTTATACAATTTCAACTGTATCTGTTTTAGTACATACACGTGAAGAGAACAGAAAAGTACTATCTTTATGTCTCTTAGGGAGTGATTTAGCGGTGGAGGAATTGGGTGACAACATTGGGAGCCAAGATTTAGATCTGTGCAGATACTAGGCGATTCTTTCTATCTGTTTAAGCTTTGTAGTTTTGATGAGTAGGTTACCTTATATCTGTTTTAGTGTGAGATAATATGTATCCGTTGGATTAGTTGAGGTTCACTATGTTAGTTTAAAGACCACGTTTATAGAAAACAGTAGTATCTTTTTTTTCTTCTTTTAGGGTTATTGAGAAATTTGATGTTTTTAGTCGCAAAACTAGGTGTAACATTTCTCAAAAGAAAAAAATTATCTCCATTTTCGGTTCTGCTAGTTTAGCGTGCTTAGCAGTTAGCTCCTTGTTTTAAGCAAGTTAACTCATTTGGTTTGGATAATCTACTGAATGGATATTATGTGTGAAGGATGTTGGTCATTTAAGTACAAAATTTTGGGTTCATTAATAATCTTAGAGATGTGTTGGGTGGTGGTGGTAATAATCTAGTCTAATTGGTAAAGTGGAGCTTCAATTTTCTTGATTTTACTCACGAGTCTAGCATTATGAAAGGAGAAATGATCAAAATACTCCTTATTGTATAGATTTAGATTGATTGGTCCCTCATATATGTAGCTTATGGAAAAGGTCCTTTATATGTATTAAAAACTTATCAATTTAGTCTTTCACCCTAAAACCCTAACGATCTGTCAAATTAAACAGAGATGTGCAACTCACGTGATATACAAAAATATTAAACAAAACCTCTGTTTTCTCAATTACCCACGGGACTTGAGCTCAGCAAAATGCCTGGACAATTCTACCTCATTGACCTTCTTCTCATCCTCAGAAGATATAGCATGGTCGGCTGCTTGTGGAAGCCCCACGGACACCTCGAGTTCATAGTCATCAGCCACCTGTAGCATCGACCGGATCCTCTAGAGTCGATAAGGAAGTACTTCCAGCCATTGAACGCTCGAATGAATCCATCCTCTCTGACATTTCTGTAGATTCCCTGTGTTGATAGTTCATCTGTTCCTTGCGCTTGCGGATGGTGTTCTCGGCGTAAATTCTAATGCCGTCCATGTTACCTTTATCAATGACCTTCTTCACCTTGAGCTTCTCAGACTTTCCGTCCTTCTCGCATTTTCAGGCTTGGCGTTGGAGGCTTTTCGATGTGAACTTGAGCAACTCTATGATCTGATTCATCAATTTCTCGGTGTTTCCCATTTTCTAAGCTTTGGTGATGGAGTCTTCTGATTGTTTTTGGCGATTCTTCTCCTTTGATCGAATCAATCGTCTTTTCAATTTGATCAATGTCTTTTCGTTGTCACGTGAGTTGCACATCTCTGTTTAATTTGACAGATTTTTTTTTATGTCGTTAGGATTTTAGGGTGAAAGGCTAAATTGATAAGTTTTTAGTATAGATAAAGGACCTTTTCCATAAGCCTCATATATGAGGGACCAAATCGATCTAAGTCCATACATTAAGGACTGTTTTGATCATTTTCTCCATTATGAAATTTTGGTTTCTTATCTGAAAGCTCGAAGCAATTTGCGTATCTCATGGGTTTTGCAATTTAGTTCAAAAAGTGGTATATCAACAAAATTTTGAGAAAATTATCATTTTTATTTGTTAAACTTCGCTTCAGTTCTTTCTGGTATCCAATATCCAGTCTCTGATCAGTACTACATGGAAATAAATGACTACAGGGAGACCCTTTCTCAACTGTCGTCCCTATCTATTATTCTTGTATTGCAAATGCAATCAGTGGGGATAGGTTCATGTTCGAAAGGTTAGTTTGACAAAGAAGTGACACTTCAAGAATCAGTAACATAGTGAAATTGCCTGGATAATCTAAATTCAGTTTGTTTCTATTATCTCCTTTTTTTTGGTTGCATGGATACACTTTGGTGTTTTTCCTTTATGGTACATATCCCTTCAATCCTGTCAAATTTGTGACTTTCTCGGCTATTAAATAAGGGAAAAATCTCAAATATGTTATCGAGCTTAATAAAATGACCTATCTATGCTGCTTGTCAATAGTTGGACATAAACATGTTGTTTACATTGCCATTGTGGGCCATATATGCCCACTATCACCTGATTTTTGCCACATGGCATTATCTAAACCCTTCGTTATTTATCAACCCCTTCCCCTCTCACCCTTTTTACTATTGGCATATGCGAGCCATTTTGTTAAGTTCAGTGACATAGTTTAGCCTTTTCCTAATACCTTATAATACACGACTCTCTTGGATAACAAAACTAACTTGTGTTATTTTTTTTGTTTATCATTTGATGCATGACATTCAACATTTTAGAATCATATCTTTTCTAATTTTATGTAATAAAGTTACAATTTTATGTAACAAACTAATAGGGGCAAGTCTTAAAAGATTTTAAGGAACACATAAAATTTGTTTAAGAAAAAAGAGAGACGGCTTAAAAGAGAGCTACGTATGGAAAGTACATATGAGGGTGTGATAGTATGTACGTGTTTTCATTGTGGAATTTGGGGTATTATAGTGGTTGGTACGTGGTGGTCACTCGGGAAAGGACATTAAATTTTTTTTTAAAAAAAAGATGGCTTAAGAGCGAATATACTAATGAGGTATAGTTGAGTGTGAAAATTACATATGCACATGTGGATTAAGAGTATGTATTTGTTTTCATGGTAGAATTTGTGTTGTTGAAGTTGTTGGGACATGGTAGTGCCTTTGGAAAAAGGACATAAAATTTGTTTTAAGGAAAAAAAGAGATGGGTTTAAAAGTAAGTAGTCTGATGAGGTGTCGCTTGGTGTGGAAGTACGTATGAGTATGCAAATTAAGAGTATGTATGCCTTTTCATGGTAAAATCTTGCCTGTTATAGTGGTTGGGATGTGGTAGTGGCTTGGGAAAGAAGAGCTAAAATATGCCACTACATTTAAGAAATGGTTCGCATATGCTACTCGTAAAAGGGGGTGGGGTGGGGCCGGTAAGTAATGAAGCATTTAGATAATGCTACGTGGAAAAATCGGGTAGCAGCAGGGTTCCGTATGTCATATAGGGTCCAGATGGTAACGTTTGTCGCATGTTTATATCTAACTATTAACGAGTGGCATAGATCGATCATTTTCTAAAGCTTTGATGACATATTCGAGGCTTTTCACATTAAATAATAAAGATTTAAGGTCAGGAAACCCCTTGTAATTTTCCTGCTAAGTTCCTTTAAACAGATCTCTAGTGTTATTAGCTATGACTATTGATGAAGTTGTCATGAAGAGTAACATGATATGCACTTGCTCACTATCTATCTTTATTATGTAAGATCTTGTTATCTTATTCATTGTCGATTTTGGTTCCATTGTTCTCTTTATTTTTCAGTTTCATGTTTTCACTTTGTAGCCAATTACTAAAAACATGAATTACCCTGTCTAACCTTTTCTATAGGGAGGGATCTGCTCGTGGATTTGGCATTAGGATAAATCAGTCAGTTGAAGGTTCAGATTCATGGGTTGATGATCCGATTACGCGTCACATAATAAGTTTGTGCACTAAAAATGAAGAGGAAAAGAAACTTGTTTTGTGGCCACTTATTTTGCACATAAAGGGACACTACTGTATCCTTGTACTGCCTTTAGTGGAACCAGATCATCTAAAAACGTATACAAGGATGTGTAAAAGATCTGACTGTGGAAATGCTGTTGGAGCTGATGAAAGTTTATCCCCCCTCCTGCTCAATCTTCCATCAATCACAGGGTAAGTTCCATTTTTACCTGTTTATAACTTTCAAGTTGATTGGTAAGATTGACATTTGATGTCTGTCTTTTGGCCCCTTAAGTTAGCCAGAGCATCTATAAGTTAAATATTTCAATTCTTCACTTCTATTGGTCAATCATCGACTTCACTCTCAACTAATGCTATTAAAAGTGTGTGGCATAGCTGATTAAAACTAGCTCATAAGAATTAAGTGCTCCAACTTTTTTTTTCTTTGAGAATTGGTAAACGTTGTTTTCTTCAGCATTAAGGATATGCTGGGGACCTTTAGAAAATCAGAAAAGAACAAAAAACATAATATTTACAAGGATCATAAGCATTCTGAAAGTTGATCTGAATCCTCTAATCCTATCTCTTTACACCAAAAATATAGAGATACAATACAATTCCATTTAATCTTGTGAATGGAATTGGATATATCTTCAAAATTCCTACTATTCCTCTCCTTCCACACTGTCCACCAAATGCAATGTGGAATTTAATTCCATCAGGTCTTCTATCTCTTGCTACCTCCTTTCCTGATCCAACAACTAGGTAGATAGCGGTATGTTTGGGCATAGTCCATTTCACTTCAAAATAGTTGAGAAACATGGACCATTGCTGTGAAAGTACAATGCAAGAATAGGTGATTGTTAGTTTCCCCTGCCTTCCCACATAAAGAGCACCACGGAAGTATGATCTTTCTTGTTTTAAATAAGTAGTTGCGTGTTTGGATAAGAGTATTGAGACTGATAATAAGCTCTTGCCAGTTGGTGTGTTTGGTAAAAATGTGTTAATAAGCATTCTGTAGGTAATATGACTGAAGTACCCTTATTTTTATTTTAAATGTAAGTTTAGTAGGCGTATTTTCACATGAAAAAGATGAATGACGAAAATCGATGGAGAAGAAGTTAAGAATTTTCTTTTTCTTTGAAACTGGAACTTAAGAATTTTCTTTTAGGAAGTGTATTTCAGGGATTACAAAAGATTAAGGGACAATATAGCACGAAAAGATTTGGTCAAACCAAAAGTGCTTATATAAACTGAGAAGCCATCTAAGCACTTTGGTATTAACCAAACACATAGATGAGCAACAAAAGTGCTTAAGCCTGATTAACCAACTTATAAGCTGACAGTCCAACACATTTGTGAATCACTTGTCGGAGAAGTTATTTGGCGATTGAGATTTTAGGAGAAACCTTCAGGACTGAGAGTTGGCTGAATTTAATAATTTGGTGGAGCTACTTTATGAGCCGAATTTACCAGTAAATGCACCTAACATTTGGAAATGGCCAAATAAAAGGGATGGTTGCTCACGTTCTTATCATCTGAGGTTGCTAGGGAGAGAGGAACCTACATTTCCACAACGCTCTATTGGATTCCAGGATGCTCAGGAAGGTGTGTTTCTTTGCATTAATTGTGAATGGAGTGATATAGAGAGTAGAGAATCTGAGAAAGAGGAGGATCACAGATCACTTATGTTGATTGGTGCTTCATGTATCGATGTTTGAATGATGATGTTGATCATCTCCTATTGAATTGTCAGGTGGCTGCACAACTGTAGTTGCTAATCACTGGTTTGGAATGGAATGAGTGGTGTGGGGCACATGAAGGAGGCGTTGCATAATTGGACCTTCTGGAGGGGGAAGTGAATTCTAAGGGGATGTAGCTCCATTAGCCATCATCTGTGTTATATGGGGAGACTCCAAGTTTCATAAAATTGTGAAGTAGTCTTTGTTTCTAGTTTCTTTGTGGTGTACCCTTGAGGTCCCCATTTGTATAGATGATTGGTTTTCTTTTGTGGTGAACCATATTTTGATGTAGGTTCTCTTTTTGTTTTTTTTTGGTATATGGCTTGTATAGAGGTTTCGCTTCATTAATAAAATTATTTACCTTATCAACAAATATGCTTACCCAAACACCCTCTGATTTTCTAGCATAAAATAAATATATAATTCTCTTGCTTTTGATTAGATTTTCCTCTGATGTTATGAATACTGTCTTCTTTCATATGGCACATTAGTTCCCTATTTTCTATCTTAAGTGCAACAGCCATTATTTATAAGTATTTAATGTCTCAGTGTAGCTTCCACTGTCTAAATTATATCCTCAACGATCTACTTTGGTTTTGAGTGTGTGCTGCTAACTGCTTCCATTTAAAGGTCTCTTTTACTGATGAAACATCTCCACATGGTTTGCATTTCATGAGATTTTTGCCATACGATTCTCAGAATGCAGAATAAAATTGCCGGGTTTGGTTATGGGATTCCTAAATATGCGATACAAGCGAAAATTTTGTCTGGAACTTCCATTCATCATTTGAATGTTATTGTTTCTGGTTTTAGGGTCTAGTCTGCTCTTGTGAAGTTGTTTCAGGTTACCTGATGTGTTATTTCCATCTTGGTTCCTCTCCCTTGTTCTTGCATGAAATATTCATGTTGTTTTCATGGAAGGCCATTAAGTTTCATTGAGGCTCTAGATTTCTCGCTTCTTTTGCCAAAAAAGTGGCACATCTGAAATTAAGGGTACACATTCATCATCTCTCCTCGTTTGCATCTTCAATGTTAAGCTGTCTTCTCAGTAGATAAAAACTATTTAAATTTGAATCTTTTTTACCCATAATGAGATGATTTATAGTTAGACAAATGCCTATGACTTGTTTTAGACCACAAGTTTCAAAACTTTCTTTTTTTCCTCAACTCCGTGCCTAGTCAAACACCATCACATGAAATGGGATGGAGGGATTATCTGGTAACTATTTTTTATTTAGGGGTATTACTACTGTTGCAACAACATTTAGCTTTGTAATTTTGTATGGTCCATAAGTTGTATTATAGGTCGACTGACATTGATTTTTACACTGTCGTGTAGCCTGTGAGTCTCTAGCAGAAAATGGGAGGGCTCATCAAATGCTAAAAATGTGATCGAGATCTCATTTTACTGTTATGTGTCCAACAATTTTATATTTCTCTCTCCTTTCTTTTAGAAGGGTCATCTTCCTCGTTCTATACAAACCTCTATTGCTATTTCTTCAGCATCCTCTTTCCTATTTTTCTTAGCGACCTCCATTTCCTAATTAGTTTAAAGTTGTCCAGAAAAATCTGTTTTTTATTTCCAGTGATGTGTATTTCTGCCATATAGCTCACAAGTTAATACATTTGTCTAACACAATTTCACCGTTTTACAGCACCTCAAAGACATCCTACTTTCTACTGCAAACAGTGAAAAATAAAGTCATACGTACTTATAAAAAAAAAGAGATAGTAGTATACTACCACTCAAATCTAGAGAGGTTCACTAAAGTGATTTTTGAGGAGTGCAGGGAAACAACAAGAGAGAGATGCTGATTGGAGAGTTTTTTGAGAACAAATACTGGTTGGTGGTGTGTGAGTTGAAGACTGAAGTTGAAGGGTGCTTCCATGGCCATTGGGTAGATATACATACGTTGGACACTATATGGAGTATAGTTCTGATGATTTTCTTGTTTTTCTCTTATGTTTGAGATAAGTCAAGCACGTGAATTCACCCTCTACTTTACAATGGTCTAACACAGTGCAAGAGAGTCTCAGATCTACTTTTTACAGGACGGCGTATCTAAAGATGCACCTGCAAAGTCAAGATGCGCAAGGAGAATTTTTTCCAACTAGTTCGGGGGAGGGAGGGATATGTTTAAGGTTAATAATAATAATGAGAATGATGGCAGTTTGCTTGTGGTGTGGATTATGAGACGGTTCGGCATGCAATAGGTGATATCAAGCACAGTTAAGGAGGCGCCTCCTGCTTGAAATTCAGAAGGAAGAGGAGTCGAAGAACTTAGAAACCATTGTCTCACTAGCACTCATATGGGTCTGGTGTAAGTAAAGAAATAAGATATCTTAGATGGAATAGAGAACTACCATGTATGTTTGAGGAATAGCCTCTAATTTCAAGCTTTTCTTGGTGCACCCATGAGGTTCCGGTGTGTATAACAGATTGAAAGTTGTTGGTAGAGAATCATATTATCAAAAGAGATTTTTTTTTGACGACAAGGGAACCCGCAACCGCTACCCTTTTGGGTGCGCACAGGGTAAAACCCCGCTCCTATGCAATAGCTCGCAAACCACATAGGAGAGGTAAACCACACTAGGCAAGCCTGGTGCAACGAGCTCGACACAGAAGGCAAACCCCTTGCTATCGCTGGCAAGGGGTTTCGAACTTGAGACCTCGAACATGGAAGTCCCAAGCTCAAACCATAATAATGATATGTTGAAAATTTGCGGAAATTGATCATAAGCAGTTGTATGGTGTTTGTCCACCCAAAAAAGCCTGGAGTTCTTATTCAAGTTACTGTACTAAAGATTTTTGAGACTGTTTTCTGCCTTGTAATTTAGATAACTACGATATAGGTAGTTTAACTACATTTTTCTGTAGCTTGGGAAATGTTCCCTGTCTTCTTTTCTCTAACCTGGTGAGGGGTGATTTGTATTTATTGAAAGGCACATAAGATTTTTGAGTAGCATCAAAATAGATGAGGAAAACCTCTGTTGGGTATGCATTGCTCTCAAGCAGGCATCCTGAAGGGCAGGGAATTATGACAGACGTGGGGGTGGAAATCACAAGCATACATCTACAGAGTTTTTCTAGATTATAACTGCTATGGTTGCTTCATTCGTATTGAAGCTTGGCTGGGGGATAGGAAGTTCACAATGATCATTCTAGAGACAGATTATAACTTGGATGGGGAGATATTGCTTATAAAATTCTTCATTTTCTGGGGAAGTAAACCACAAACAGATTCAGGCATGCCAATATACACCAGATGAGTTCATATGTTGACATGACAAAGATCACTCAGTGGTCAAGATCTATGGCCGCTTCATCCGTATTGAAACATGGTGTGAGGATAGGAAGTTCACAGTGATCATTCTAGAAGCAGATTACAACTTGAGCGGGGAGCTAAAGCTGATAAAACTCTACATTACTAACAAGGTTTTGAATTGAAGGATTAAAACTAGAGAGCCTGGTAATTTGTGCAAACTGGAGGGGATGTTTTTGATCAATTAAATTGATTCTACCGCTAATATCCATTTTGAGAAGGCATAATACATATATTGGACCCTAAACTTGGCTTCAAATTTGAACTTTGACCTCAAGCACTTTAACTATCCTACCTTTAAATAAATAAACACGCGATTTTTGGAGCCAAAGAGAGTGAAATGCAAACGCTTCCACGTGTATTAGTGAGCCACTCAATGGCTGCCAACTAATTAAATATTTTACACGTACATTTTAGAATTAAAAATAAAAAGAGATTTTGATTTGTAAATGTAAAAATATATGTAAAAGGGATTCATTAAGGGTAGAGTTGTCATTTCAACATTTTTTTAGAGTTGTGGGCCTCGAAAATTACTCCCAACTCGCGCAAAATACGTGCACACCACGCGTTTTGCCAGGTAGGACTCGCGTGTTTATTTATTAAAAAGTTGGATAGTTAAAAGTGCCTGTTTGTGTACTATGAAAATTGGAGGTCAAAGTTAAAATTTGAAGTCAAGTTTAGGGTCTACTATATGTATTTTGCCTTTTGAGAAATATGGGATTTGGTGACAAATGAATAAAGTGGATTAAATACAACATCTCTACGGTCAAAGACTCAGTATTAATCAATAGAAGTTCTTGCTTTTTTTCTCCCCTCAGAAAGGGATCAAAATAGGTGATCCACTCCCCCGAGTTTTTCATATTAGCCATGAAAGGCTAAAATAAGATGTTAGGAAAAGGCTAGAAATCTGCTGTGGATTTAGAGATTTAGAGTAGGCACAGATTCTGGGACCACGTCACTATTTTCCATCTACTGTATGCAGATGATACATTGATCTTATGTGAGGCAGAAAATCACAAATCCTATACTTGAATCTCACACTCCTATTCGAAGCTCTGTCAGGGTTGCACGTCATGCTAAAAATAATTTCTATCCCGTCAATTATGTGCTCAATATTGAGGTGCTGGAAGGAATCATGGGTTGCATCATTGGGACACTACCTACCATCTACTTAGGTCTCCCACTAGGAGCCAAATTCATAAACTGTGAAATCTGAAATGGTGTTGTTGAAAAATTAGAAAGAGCTTGGCTTCTTAGCAGTTGCCATTCTTATTTATAGGGGAAAACCAACTCTTATCAGCAGTTGCTGCCTTGCTGGACAACATACCTACTTATTACATGTCTTTGTTCCTTATTCCTAAAAATGTGCTAAAGCAGTGGTCAAAGTCAGAAAGGATTTCCTTTAGGAGAGGAATAGTAGCTCTAGAAATACCATCTCTGATTAAACGGGATAAAGTCACACAGACAATGCAATTGACTTTTGGGGATTAGAGATTTAGCCATCTACAACAAATGTTTGCAAATGAAGTGACTATGCAGGGATGGTATAGGAGAACCAAGTCACTGGAAGGAAGTGATCATTGCTTAACATTGGAAAAGAGACAACTGGAGCACCAAAATTGACAATGTACACCTTATGGATTTGGTCCTTGGAAGTATATCAGCAAGTTGGGGAATGAATTTTTGCAGAAAAGCCACTTCAAAACCAGGTAGTGGAGTGTACATAAGGTTTTAGAATGACAAATGTCTCAATAACACAGCACTCATGGATGATTATCCTAATCTATTCCACATTGCCTTGGACATGGAACTCTTCAATTTCTCAGAATAGGAGTAACAATGACCGGTATGTACATTTGACTAGGTTTGCCAAACCTGGGAAATAGAAAGCTGACGGAAATGTTAGTTGAAGTGGAAGGTTACAACATTGACTAAGAAGTAAGATCACTTAGACGTGTTATGTATTGTAGCAGCAAGGTATTTTCATAAGCAAAGAATATATTATAAACAGGCCTTCTCTCAGAATCAAGTCCTTGATTCATGGCCTTAG